AGGCCTTCCCCGAGCCACTTCCGGGGACGCTCTAGACCACTTGGAGGCTTCTATCTCAGTGGTGTCTAGCTCGCTACACCGCGGTTGAGCAAGGGAGCAGCCCCGGCCTGGCAGGTCCCCAGACGGTAGAACGATGAAGGGCAGTGGGAGTCGCACGTTCATGAGGAGCGGAAGCCCGGACTGAGCGTCCGGTACTGAGAGCCATGACCGGGCGAGCACAGACTGAAGGGTAAGTCTAGCGCCACCTTATGGTGGGAGGTTTCCAAGGCCTCGTGTTGCCAGGATCCCTTTCCATTCCTGTGGACCCTTCCTTTAACTAGAGTTAAAATGTGCCCAATTTAGACGATTTTGATGATGAGATTTGAAACGTAGTGCAGCGTGGAGGCTTTGGGAGACCTTGACATGTGATGAGCCATTTTGCATGTGAACCATACCTGAATCTTTGTTAAAGGATCCAATGAGAAAAGATTCTGCAATGAAGCCATTGAAGGGACAACAGGGGCTGGGTCCTGTGTTTTGAAGATGAAGGAAAGCTACCAATCAAGAAGTGCAAAGCGGCTTAGGGAGCTTCGAAAGGCCAGGAAACATTCTCTCTTGGAATACAACCCTGGTGGCACTCTGATCTCATCACCCTGACCTGCAGAAGCACTAGAAAACAGAATTGTGTTGTTCCAGGCCTCTGAAGGGACCACCTCCCCATTTCGGCAGCCATAACAGCTGAACATGTGTTTGTCTGACCTTGTCTTAGTCTCTAAGGTCAGATGCCTGCCCCTTTCGGCAGCCATAACAGCTGAACACGTGCTTGCCCTGACCTTGCCTTGGTCACTAGGAAGTCAGATGCCTGCCTCGTGGCAAGGGACCAATCAGAAGTTAGGTGGTGGTGCTATGCTTTACGCTATGGGTATGCTTTACGGACAAGTGCACAGCAATGACGCACAGAGCATAGCAACCACCCTGGGAGGGCCTATGGGCCATAACAACCAGTTGACCAATCAACACAGGGCAAAACCTCCAAGCCTGGAGGCATACCAATCCTGAGCCTGTGTGTACCCCTAGGCACTCCCCTTATGCTGCCCTATAAGATCTCTATGCGGCCGGTTCTAGCTGTCTTTTCTAGCCATCCGCCATGGTGAATGGATGAAAGACCCGAGCTAACATGGGGTTAGCTCGTTAAACAACTATAATAAAGCCTCATGCAGTTTGCATCAAGTTTCCACCTCTGCATGGTGATTGGGGTGGCTGTGGTCCTGGGCTAAGATCCTGAAGGCCTGAGCTTCCGGGGGTCTTACAGTCTCCACACTGGGGTGATTTGTCAAAGTTCCATAGAAACACAGACTATGGCAACTTGCTCCTCCTTCACTCACATTCTTGCCTGAGCACCCAGGACCCTCTGCCTGCTCTTCCCTACCCTCTCTTGTTGGATCCTTTGCTCTCTCCATTCTCACCCACTAGGGATCTCCAGTACTAGAGTTCTAATATCACGGGAGGCTGGGTGGCTCCCAAATCCATGTCTCCTTCCAGAATATCTTCCCTGATGTCTTTTGCCCAGAAACTGAACATAGCTGTCCACATGCACCTCAAACACAGTGTTTCTGAATGGAGGTCAGGTGCCTCCTGACCAGCCTGGCTCCCCACTCCCAATCGTCGTGTTTCCTGGCAGTCAGTCCTACTTTCCCATCCACTAAGGGTCACTCTGAATTCTCCCTTACATCCAGTGGACAAGTTCTGATTAGCCCTGCCCCCAGAATCCATCCTTTGGATTTCCCCTCTCCCTTCATCTGCCTGACTTTGGGTCCATGCTCTGAGCATCAATTGCCTCCTCCTTGGTCCTGTTGTTTTGCCCTTTCCTCATTGTCAGCTGTTGCTGCTGTACTGTGAGCTGCCCTCAGGCAGTAGCTTGGAACAGCCATTGTCTCAGAGCACATGACTCTGGATAATGAATTGAATGATAGAATCAAATGTGAGGAATGCAGAAGGAAACTGAGTCACAGAAGATGCCAGGCATGTTGTATAACTGGAACCCAGGACCCTAAGAAGTCTCTCTGACATTTTTCTGGACTCCCCTGGGATAGCTGACTCTGCCCCTGAGTGTGGCTCTCTGCTTCCACCTTGTGAACCTGGGATCACACACTTCCCTAGTGGTAGTGGCATGGGAGTAGGGCTTGGCACATGACTCCAGGATATTTGGTCTTATCGGTCATATCTCAAAGACTTGAGTTCACTTTAGCCATGGGGAAGTGGTAGGAAAGAGAGAGGAAGACTGGTGTCCCCTTGGACCTGGCACTAAGAGGTCCCCTCTGCTCCTTCCCACTAACTCATAGAGTTAAGCCCTTGAGATGACACTTGTACCATCAAAGTCTCCTCACCTGCCAGACTTGCCCTCCCCATTTATCTAAAGTGGCCTTGGAAAGGGTCAGTATGAGCAGACCACTTTTCATGGTCTAGCTTATCTCAGCCATCTTCCAAGTTCCTGGATCATCCTGTAAGACTGTTCCCTCAACCTGCAAGCCTTTGCCTGGAGGAGGCCTGGACTACAAGGGTGCCTGTTACTCAGGTGGAGAAATCACCAACATCCCCTTCCTCCTTACAAGGTTTCTCAGGCCTCTCTGTCTCACTGACTTGCCTCCAAGGAGTATGGGTATGGAATATGGGTATGTGAAGAAAAATGGAAAGACAGGGACATATCTAAAATATTTAAAGCAGAAGGCTAGCTGGTGACAGTTGGGAGCCCATGGGAAGGGGGTGTTGCAGACAGATCCATGAATAGTGCTGAGGAAAATAATCACCTCTGGGTAAGCAGGGAACATGGAGATTAAAACTGAGACATGTCCCAGGATGCAGCAGGACCTGTGGAGTTTTATGCCCCCAGTCCACTGTCCAAAGGGTACGCCAGGACAGTACCCCCAATACTCATATTTGCATATATGTTCACTCTCACAATACACAATTTGATCTGTACCCACACTCTTTCACATAGCACAAGTTTCTATACCACTTCATCAACATACCACACACAGAGCTTGCAAGGAGTGGCTTTGACTTCTAGGACTCAACATGGGGACCTTAGTGGGAGATGATGCCCAGCTTCATGGAGGCCTGGCTGCTCATGTCATACCCTGACCTGAAGGACCACGTTTCCAAAGACCTGCAGTGGCATAAACAGAAACCAGTTGTGGCTTTACAGTCCACATGCTGACTTTGCTTTTAAAAGCCATCTATGTGCAAAATAACGATTCCACCCAACCATGATTTGTGTACAAGCAGGGGGCCCTGTGATGCTCCCTAAGAAGAGGTAGGGGTCTAATAGAAAGGCATAGTTTTGAGAATCCACACCCAAAGGACAGTGGCTTCTTTGCTATGTGAATGGGCAGGCTCTCCAGGGAGTGTAATGAGCTGTGGTGGGGAGTGGAAGAAAAGGGAGAACAAGAAAAACTAGAGACTCAGGTAGTGGAGCCAGGCAGGCTAAGGGTAAATCATGTCAAGGTCACATCCAGACCACATTCACTCCTGGAGAGACTTGGAGGGAGTATGCCCTTTGTGACAGGCTTTTTCAGGAAGTGTGCCACCACAGTGCACCACCAGGCTACAAGGTTGCATTCAGTGCATGCCCTAAGAATGAAGGGCAAGGGTCAGGGGTTAGCCAGTGGCTAAGTTCAGAGCTAAGTGTGTGACTGAGATCAGGTCTCATACTGTATCCATAATCAGGCTCAGCGTATGAGCAGCACCAGGGCTCAGTGTGTGAGTAGAGTCAACTACTCAATATGTGGCTAGAGTAAGAGCACACAGTGTGACCAGGATCAAGACTTGGTGTGTGAGCCGGGTCAAAGATCAGCTTGCAACCAGAGTCAGGATCACTGTGCGAGCAGGAGCAGAGCTCACTGTGTGTCCAGGAGGATTAGGTAGTGTGACCAGGATCAGGGCTCAGTGTGTGTCGAGGATCAAGACTCAGAGTGTGACCAGAGTTAGGGCTTAGCATACGGTCATGGTCAAGCTCACGTCTGAACATAGCCAGGGCTCAGGGTGTGACCATGATATTTCGATATTTGGGGACATTTGGGGCCTAGGGTCACCAGAATGAGTGTTCAGTGTTAAGCTGCGGTCAGAGTTAAGCCTGTGGTAAGAGGTGGGGCTGTAGGAAAATAGTAGTCATAGCCTTCAATATTTGAGATGAGGTGAGGCCACTAGGCCACCCTTTGGCCAGAGCTCCCTCTCTGGGCACCACTGGTGTGTGTGGCCCAGTGGTTCTGCAAGATTCTGGTACTGTGGGTGTTGAGCAGACAGTGGCCTGTGCCCACTATATCATCCAGTGTCCCTGAGCTGAGCCAACAGAAATGCCTCTAGGCATTCATATGGGGAGAGGAGGCTTACCCCAGTAAAGAACCACTGCCTTTAGAATATTCATTTCATATCAGTCATGATCGACAAACATTTACACACCTATAAATATTTGGTGAATGACTATTCTAGTTGGTGCTGGGTACCGGTGCCTCCAGTGCTGGGACAGATAAGCAAGGTCTCTCCAGGGGCAGCCATCCCGGTGGGTGAGAGCAGGGAGACAGCCATCCACACATAGACACAACCAAGCTGCAGGTGCTTACAGCACTCCCTGGGCTGGGAGGCCTGTGGCAGGAGGGGATATTCCACAGGAAGTTCTAGGTAGGCAGAGAACAGGAAAGCATCCAGAAGAGGGTACTGTCACCCTGTGTGACTTTGAGCAGGATCTTGCCTCTCTCTGAGCCATGGGCTCTTTACTGTCAAAGGAGAGAATTTCCAGGGAAAAGAGGCCAGCCCAGGAGTGCTAGGGAGTTCACAGAGGGCAGGCGAGATCACAGAGGGCCTGGGGTAAAGGGATGTGTGGTTGCTGCAAGTAGAGGCCATCTGTGGTTGCTGCATGGTCCTGGCATTGCTGGGGCTTGATGTGGCTCCTTGAGGCTAGAGGGGAATACTTAATTCTCACCCATGCCTTAAATGCCAGGGTGTTTTCAGAGAACATTTAGGGTAAAGGAGTAGTCAGGGATCTATCAGCAGGGGCAAGAGAACATCAGAGACCACTGTACCTGGTTGTGGGCAAGTGGATGGTGGCCATGACCAGCATTTCTACTCACTGGTATCTGGCCAGAGCAACAGTGTGCCCAGCGAGATTGCCAAGAGAGCCTGGCAGAAGAATGATGAATGTAGGTGAGCCTCAGGTAGAGACAAGCAAAAAAGACTATGAATCACCCCAAAGCCAGTAGCAGTAGGAAGCAATGGACCCCTAGATCCGAAGGAAACTGTGATCAGAGTTGGCTGAGGAAGACTGACACACAAGATCTGTGGCCTCTGCTAAAGAGAGACAGCCACTACCACTACAACCCAGCAGGAGGCTGAACAGGGAGAGATGGCCTGACCTCTGTCCCTCCCTGCTTTGTAGGCTGGATGCCTCCCAGACCACAGAGCAGTGTGCAAGGTGGGCCTGAGGACAGCAGAACATATCAAGTGGTGGCCTGGGAGCTGTGTTTCCTGAATCTCTTGAAGCTAAAGTTTCAAGTTGGGGGATAACAAGTCCTGAAGATAGATGCTTTAGTCCAGGGCCTGGCACATTCCAATGCTCTAAGACATGCCCTTAGGACTGTCCAAACTCCTCACTGGTTCTTAGGTCCCCTATCCAAGAAAGACAATCCCAGAAGAGCCCCTATTCAGTGACTCCTTCTAGTAGCCAGTCATTGTCATTTGTATCAGTGAACTGCTACTATGTGTATTGCCCTTCAATCCAGGCCTGTTTTCCAGGGGGCATGGGCCCCAGGAAGGCAACACAACTTTGGTTCTGAGCACTGGGGTCCCATGGATGCACCTTTGTCCTTGTCCAAATGACCTGGGGAGTAGAGATAGAGAAAGTAATGTTTCAGAACTGGCCTCACTCCTCTGAGAAGGGCAGACATAGTGTGGGTGTCTTTAGGACTTCCAGCCCTAGTTCTGTGGGTGGCTGAGAAAGTGCTTCTAGCAGAGACAGTGGCCCCACCCTGGATAGACTGTGCCCTCCAGCACCAGAAAGAATGACAAAGGCAGTGGGAGGGGTGGTATTCGAGATCAGATTGGAATGGGCTGGTCTCTGGCCTTTCACTGGCTCCAGGGAACCAGTCATTGTTGACTGTGGATAGCAGAGCCTCCTATCAGCCGAAGCCATATAAAGTCTTTGGAGGCACACTCCCAGCTGCCCACTGAGACCATGAAGGCTGTCCTCTTTGTCCTGTTGACCACCTACTTGGCCCTGAAGCCAGGTAAGCTTCAGACACCCATGGAGCAGAACTAGGGAAGGAGTGGAGAAGAAATGTCAGAAGGGCGGATGGATTAAGAGAAGGGAAGAGGAGAGACAAGAGCAAGGAAGCCAGCCAGCTTTGCAGAGAGGGCCCTCACTATTGTCCTGTGAGAGACAAGCTAGAAGGAACACAAGGACTCCCAGAAAAGCCACTGAGGGACAGATGTACAGGGTTACTGGCCCTTAGTCAAGGAAGCCCAGGGGCCAAAAGTCTCAAACTGAGGAGTGTTACAGAGGCAAGAAGGGAGGAATGGAGCAGGAAAGGGTACTTAGGATGTCTCTCTCTCAATTTTTTTTGTTTTGGTTTTTGAGACAGGGTTTCTCTGTGTAGCTCTGGCTGTTCTGGAACTCACTTTGTAGACCAGGTTAGCCTCGAACTCACAGAGATCTGCCTGCCTCTGCTTCCAGAGTGCTGGGATTACAGATGTGCATGCACTACCACTGCCTAGCTTACTTGGGACGTTTTGAGAGGGAAATCAAGGATCCATCCTGGCTACCTTTGCCTCCAGTGTGAGAGTCTACTGGGGTGGGAAGTCTGTGGTGATCTAGCATGCTGGGCTCTCCCACCAAGTGACTCCAGGAAGGTCACTATACTTTCAAGCCTCAGCTTCCTCTTCCAGGATGGAAAAACAAAACAAAACAAACAAACAAGCAAAAGAACAACTGTCCCCAAGGCCACTGGAGACCTAACAAGGACAAAGTTTGTAGGCACTGAAGTCTGGTGTTTAGCATCTGTTCCTATAAGTGTGACTTGAACCCCAGCTTTGCCATTTTTTGCAGAGAGAAGACAACCAACACACCTGACATCTGGGGCCACTTGCCCCAGACACAGAACAGGGTAGGCCTGGGGGTCCTACCATTGCTGCACAGCATTGCAGAGATCTAGGAGGGGTTGAGAGGCAAGCTGGGCTTAGGGAACAAAGACAGGTGGACCTCAGTGCCTAGTAGCATGAGGAAGTAAAGGAAGTGTCTCTCTGCACCTCCCCCCAGCCTAGGGCCCAGTGGGTTTTTTCCAGGTGTGACCAGTCACTAGGGCCTTTTACCCATCTCTCAGGAATCATAGGTATTTAATAAAGCTTTAAATTCCTAAATAGTGAGTAAACAGCACAAACTGTGGGGCTTTGGGTGACCAAGAGGAGGTAGACTGGCACAGAGCCTCTGTGAAGGGTGTTGGAGGTCTTTGGGCTTATGCTTCAGCAGTCTGGAGGGGACTGAGATGAGTCTCTCCATTCTGCGTGGAGATGAGCATGTCTGTAAGGCTCTCTTGAAGCACAGCTGGTCAGCCTCTGAGCCTCAAATCTCCTGCTTCACCCACAGGGGCTGCCCTGCAGTGCTATTCATGCACAGCACAGGTGAGCAACAATGACTGCCTGAATGTGCAGAACTGCAGCCAGGACCAGAACAGCTGCTGGACATCACGCATCCGTGAGTCCCCCTCTACCCAACACAGTTCTCACTGCCCGGCTGCCCTGCTATTTCACTGTCCTGCTTTTTCAGCCCTCCTTCTCTTCTCCAGCTAAGCAACAAAATATCTAGACCTTGGGCTTTGCCCCTGCTCACTCACTCGTTCAACAAATGTTTCTGGGACCCAGTGGAGTGGTCTAGAGCTTTAGCATGCTCGGGAAAGGGCCTGAGGCAGGGACAGGGAGGTGAATATCAAGGCCTGGCTTTAACCTAAGCTGTCACTCTGTCTTCCCAGGGGCCATTGGACTTGTGACAGTTATTAGTAAAGGCTGCGGCTCAAACTGCATGGATGACACCGAGAACTACTACGTGGGCAAGAAGAACGTCACATGTTGCTACTCCGACTTGTGCAATACCAGCGGAGCCCACACCCTGAAGCCAGCCACCACCACCCTGGGGCTGCTCACTGTGCTCAGCAGCCTGTTGCTGTGGTGTTCCAGTCATCTATAGGCTCTAGGAAGCCCTACTACAGCCTCTACTATGCAGGGATGACCCACCACCACCACCACAACTCCTAACATCCACACAGGGCTGGCCTTTGCCCTGCCCCTTCTGGTGCTCCCTCCTCTCAGCTGCATCTGTTTCTACAGCTGGCGCTTTGCCCCCCCCCTCCACCACATCAGTGCGATGCCCCGCCAGTTCTGCTCTGGCACTTCTGCTGCAGGGCTCCCTGCACCACCCTGCTCCCTAGGAGCTGAGCCAATCTGCACAGCAGCACTTGGGAAGGGCCTGGTGAAGGCTGAGACGAGATGGACTGGGCAGAAATGAAGCTGGGAGGTGGGTGTGAGGTTCTGCTAGTCCTAGGAGATGATCCCGGTGGGTGGACCTGCCCCATGTTTATAGAGCCCCAGAACACAGTAGGCCTGTAATAAATTCCTGTTGGGTAAGTTGGAGAAAGATTTTGTCCTTAAGCAGCCCATGATGAGCCTGGCCTCCACCTGGGCAATGTCCATCAAGGGTCATGGACATGCCGTTGACCTTAGGTGTTAGAGGCCTGGTCTTGGTGGGAACACATATGTGGCACCTGGCAGGGGGCAGGACCACTTATCTCAGGACACCCGCCCTTGCTGTATAGACTCAGGCACATTTCCAAGCTTCTCAGAGTCCTGTGTGTTTCTCTGCTACCCTCCCAGTGGAAGGAAGTCTCAAGTTTCCATGGATAAGAGGAACCCCTAGGAAGGAGAACATTCTGCAGCTCCCTCCAGATTCAGAAAATCTACTATAAAAGACTTTGTTCTAGCTGGGCCTGGGGCCCCTACTTTAATCCCAGAGCTTGAGATGCAGAGACAGGCAAATCTCTGTGCATTTGAGGGAGGCCTGCTTGGTCTACATAGCAGTTCCAGGCCAGCCAGAGCTGCATAGCAAGGCCCTGTCTCAAAACAAAAAATCCTTTGTTCCAAGAGTTGCATGCTTCAGGAACATAGGAAATACAAGCACAAGAGTCTTGGAGCAGGCAGCCAGCTGCCCCCACCCCACACCATGCAGGAGTGTGTCCAGCCCACACTCCCGTGTTCCTACTGCTGAATCTGTGTCCATGCCATTAGAAGCTTGGGAGGGGATGTCTACAGGAGGACATGCCCACCGCTGCCATTCCTGGGAAAAACCTTTTGAAGGGAGCCTGTCTTACACCTGGGAATAGCCTGAACCCTGGGTGGGGATCTGCATGAGGACTGGTTTCTACAGCTGATGCCCCCCTCCCCCCTGCCATACCAGTTGAAATAGAAGCATGAGGAAGTTAAGGAAGTGTCAGTCTGTACCTCCCTCCACTTTGTGCCCAGCAGAGCGTTTTCCATGTGTGGCCAGTCACTGGGGCCTCATACCCCTCTCTCAGGGATTACAGCTATTTAATAAAGCTTTAAATCCCTAAATAGTGAGCAACATAACAGGCTGTGGGCTTTGGGTGACATAGGGGACACAGGGGACATAGGAGAACAGTGAAGGGCCTAGGTGTGTACGAGCTGGGCATCAGAGCTTGAGTCCCACAGTTCAGTGGTGGTAGTGAGAGCCCAGGGGCCAGTGGGACAGGGGTCATGCTGAGAATTATCCTGGCCAGAGGCTCCAGGGCTCTCTTTGAAGCTGATGCCCTCACCCTTTGTGTATGATCTCAAGCAAGAGGCATCCCTCTCAACCCTGGGATAAGGTGAGCATCCATCCAGAGCTGAGTCCAGGCTCTAGGAGGCCCTGTGTTTCAGGAGGACACCAAAGATCTGGTCTTTCAACTATTAAGAACATGGTGCAGGACTTGGGGCCAACAGCAACCACAAGGGGGTAGTGCTCAGGGTGGTACTTCTGGCAGCACAGTCTTGGGGACCTTTTGGTTGAGGCTCACTGTCTTCCCTGGAGATAGTGGAGGACAAGGCACAGTTTGCAGGACCCTGTCTGGCTCTATCTGCTCAGCAGTTATAGGGCGTCTGCTTGGTCCTGAGGGCTGTTCCTGGAATATAATATCCGGCAGTTACCTAGGCTTGGCTGGGTTCTCCTTGGCACTCCTCAACACCCTAGTGCGCCCCTCCCCCAGCATGGAGCCTGCAGGACAGCAGATTTAGATAAATAAGAGAAATAGGGAAGTTTTTGTTCTCTTAACATAGCTGGGAGAACAAAGGGCAGAGGATGCCAGAGCTGGTTCATGCAGAATGGCCATCCTCACTGGGCAGACTCCATCCACCAGGGATCAGGCCTCAGCTGCCCTTTAGCTGAGTCTCTTTCTCCCCCATGGTTGGTGCCCAAACGGTCCTGTAGGCCAAGGTCCCCAGGGACAGAGGGACAAAGGGTGTCTCACCCTACCCTGGAGACTTCTTTGCAATGAAGTTAGAGTGAGGGAAGTAGAAGGCAGAAGGTGACCCAAGGAGTAGAGGGCATCCCTGGGTGCCAAGACCAAACAAATGACCTGGCATGGGCTTCTAATAGTTGCTCTCTCATAGTTGCCTCCAGTGTAGCTCTGCTCATCTAGCAGGGCAGGGCCAGGGGAGGATGGGGCGGGGCGAGGTCCAGGACAAGTCATCCTGCTGGGGCCACCCTGTGGTCAACCCGTGCCTTGTGTTTCCCCTGGTGGCCAAAATGGTTGGCAACCTGCCTCTGGAGTTGATACCGGGCTCAAGGGCTCCAGGAGCCCTGGAAAGAGCCAAAGTCCCTGAGCGAAGCCTCTGTACCCAGCACTCGTACTCGCCTAGTGCTGGCAGAGAAAGAGGCCTATTGAACAATCCTGTAGACACCAAGGTGTGTTAGGGTGATGAGGCACTCCTCCAGTCAGAATTCAGCTGTGAGATAGACAAGCATTACTTTATTCATGAAACTACAGCGAGGGTGCTCAGATCCCTTCGAGGGGACCCTGGCAATGTGGTCTAGGCTGGGAGGGGGGAGAGAAAAATGGAAGCAGGGTGAACAGTGTGTAGAGAGCAGCCAGCAGAGAGGCTCAAAGCGAAGCAAGGTGACAGAAGCAGAGGAGGCCTGGAAGATGGGGGCTCATTCACATCTTTTCCTGTCTCAAAGGCCTGTTTACCTGTTACCCATGGCGGGTCTCTTCCCTGAAGGAATGAGACACGATGGGCAGAGTAAGTCAGAAGGCCCATTCTCTGAACAATGGACTCAAATTTAGTCTCTTCCTCCTCAGAGACTGCCATTCCCCTAGCCAGAGTGCAGACCAGGACAGGTGGGTATTTCAAATAGAAGCAATGTGTGGGAAAGATTCTTCTGGTCATCTGAAGCTACACTGATGGCGGAGTTCCTTACCTCTTGGAGTGTCCAAGAAGACCCCGGGCATTCACTGTGCCGTAGCTCCTGTCCTCAGAAGCAAAACCAAAAAGAAAACAACTTTTCTCTGGACAGAAACCACAGCAAACCCAGCCTAGTATGGGTCAGTTGGAGTAATGTTGCCCAGGGCATCTGGAGCGCCGTCAGTCCACCCATCCTTGGGCTCCGTGTAGTCATTTACACATAGGATTATCGAAGTCCAGGAGGCTATCCAGGAGAGCCGGCCCGACCTCAAAACCTTCCCCTACCCTAAAGGAAAGGGACTGGCATTCCACAAACCATGGCCGGTTCCTTTAGCTTAGTTGATAAGTCATTTGCATTCATCCCACTCCTCTCTACACCCCACGTCTCCTCCATCTTGGATGTTATTTGCATTAAAAGAGGTAAAAGGTGGTAATTATTGGGGTGCGCTTAGGGTGAACAAGGCTTTTTGGCGGACAGGGGTGAGAACTGGGGGACAAATGTGGCTGCAGACTGGGACTGAAAGGCGCCCGAGAGACGGGATCTAATTCTCTCTACACTACAGTGAACGCACCAGGGGCTTTGCGGAAGCGGGATGCCTGGACAAGCTTGTGGGTCACGGGCAGCCTCGCAGAAACAGCACCTATAGCGAAGCAATGTCCGTTTTCCTTGCAAAGTTCCTCAGCTGCTCCGGGGAAGTTCTGGAAATCTTTGGTTATGCTCATCTGAGCTACTGGATCGCAGGAAGGAGCGAGCAGGCATCCCTGTCGCTCCTGCCCCCGCAACGCCCAGCACAGCGGCCAGGTGGCGCTATACTGCTCCGCGCGTTCCCGCCGCGCCCCGCCCCGGTAAAAGCGAAAGAGGCTCTGGCGGAAGAGCAGAACACACCACCCACGGCGCGCGCGGGAGGTGGGATATGACCGGGTGTATGTGAGACTCCAGCAGGCGACGCTACTGCCTCCGGCGCGCCTTCCCCCGAATTGCTGGAAGAAGTGGTGCGCTCCGAGCGGTTCCCGGAGCTCCTAGGCTCCGGGGCAGGTCCGCGGCAGGCACCTGCGCACCGGGCTCCTGGGCACCGGGCGCACGCTGCCAAGATGCTGGGGCTGCTGGTGGCGTCCTTAGCCCTGGCGCTTGCCTTCTTCGCGCTGCTGGATGGCTGGTACCTGGTGCGCGTACCGTGTGCGGTTCTGCGTGCACGCCTGCTGCAGCCGCGCGTCCGCGACTTGCTGGCGGAGCAGCGGTACGTGGGCCGGGTGCTGCCGTCGGATCTGGACCTGCTGCTGCACATGAACAACGCGCGCTACCTGCGCGAGGCCGACGTAGCGCGCGCAGCGCACCTGACCCGCTGCGGTGTGCTGGGAGCGCTGCGCGACCTGGGCGCTCACAGCGTGCTGGCCGCCTCTTGCGCGCGCTATCGCCGCTCGCTGCGTCTGTTTGAGCCTTTCGAGGTGCGCACTCGCCTGCTAGGCTGGGACGACCGCGCCTTCTACCTGGAGGCGCGCTTTGTCAGCCTTCGCGACGGCTTCTTGTGCGCCTTGCTGCGCTTCCGGCAGCACGTGCTGGGCACCTCGCCGGATCGCGTAGTACAGCATTTGTGCAAGCGCAGGGTGAGCAGCCCCACCCCGATGCCCCTGCCCTGTGCAACCCCCAGCCCCCTCCCACAAGGAAGACCTCTTTGAAGTTCTGGGACTGTTTTTGTGTCGGAACACTTCATCACTTTTCCTTTGGGTCCATGCTGATGCCCCCTTGGGGTCCCCATCATCTATGAATTAAGACTATACTTCAGGCTTAACCATTTTTGAACCTTCCCAATCCCCACCTCAGGGTTTCTTCTCCCATATGAGATTCTCAGACCATGTTTCTTTACTTAGAGTTCAAGTCCTAGTTCTGTGTGGTCTAGAGTGCTGAGTCACCCTCTCTGGTCTCTGACAGGTGCCTCTTTTTGGGCATGGGATAACAGTATGGCCAGTTAGAAGCAGTTGCTGGGAATTCCAGTGGACCTGAGACCCTCTTTAGCACAACTTGCAGCTGAGAAGCCTGGGGTTGTATTGACCTCAAGAGACCACAAGCCTTGTGTCTTTCCAAGGTTAGAGGGAATAGCCCTGTACCTTCTGGGACCCAAGGTTCTTCCCCAGGGCCCACTCCTCCAGCTTGGTGGCAGAGCCAGCTCCTTCAATGTGGCAACTGTGACCCTGGAGACAGCCAGGGTAGTGATGGTTGCCAGGACAGGCTCCTGAAAGGTGCCAGGGCAGGCCCCACCTTGTCACTGCCTTAGACAGGTGTCTCTTCTAGAGCACGGAAATGACCTTACATCGGTGCTGGGGAGCTGTGTCTGAAGGGGAACACAGACTCAGATGCTGGCCATTCACCCAGGCTGCACAGAGACTGGTGGTAGACAGGCTCCCTGGCTTTCTGTCTTTGTTGAGTCATGAACTCCTAGGGGCTGGTTGGTACTGATGGGAAGAGTGCATGTGAGGGACTGGAGGTGCTGTCACAGCAATCAATGACAGTGTGGAGGAGGCACCATGCACGCAGGCAGGTATCCCAGCTCAGTTGGAGGGCTGGGAGTTTCCCTGGTTACTGGATTGTGTCTTGGGTTGGGTTGGGTCCCAGGGAGAAGCAGATATGATTCAAGACAGGCTGAGTCTGAGGTTGGGCCCTGGAATCCGAGGGGCTAGTCCAGGGCCATGTGCTAGGAAGAAGTAGCAGCGACTACAGATTGATGGCAGATTGCAACCAGAAGGGACCCAGGCTTTGGGACAGCAGTTCCCACCTGCTGTGGCACTCACCATAAGAGAGGTAAGAGCCTTTGCTCAGCCTCTACCCTTACCCCTCAGTCCTCAGAACCTATCTGCAAGGACTCACAGGAAGCAGCCTTGTCTGGCATTCCTGGAGATGTGCCTCCCTGTGTCCTGCCCCTCATCCTTTTCCAGTCAACCTCATGGGCTTTTGCCTGGTTCTGGACACAGGCCTTAAGCATGGCCCTGCTGATGAGGCCTAGCCAAAGGAGATGAGATAGAAAGAGCTAGGAGGGAGAAAATAGGTTGGAGGAAATTGGGGAGGTCCCAGGAAAGTGTCATAATGGGCGTGGTTCCTGCCAGGTCACAGGCTAGAACATGATATAAGCAGAGATCCAGAGGCAGGAGGGCCTGGATGGTTGCCCCTTTGTTATGCCTCTCCCTCAACACACAGCAGCAGTTGGCTCTCTGGAGCCTTAATTTCCTGTCCCCCTGCAGGTGGAACCCCCTGAGCTGCCAGAAGACTTGAAGCACTGGATCGCCTACAATGAGACCAGCAGCCAGCTGCTCCGTGCTGAGAGTGGGCTCAGTGACACCAGAAAGGACCAGTGACCGCCACATCTGCGCCCTCCCTGCACTGCCTATCAGCCAGTCCATTCTACAGAATGGGCCACCTGGGCTGCATTCCTAGCCAGAGTGGCCATGGACAAGCCTGGCACCTTTTACCCGCTTTGATACTCCTCTGTGCTTACCTCATCTTGGGCAGCTGTTGAGGTGAAAATTGTTGTCCTGGCCGAGCTTTGCCTCCTGGGTCCCTATAGCATGACTGTTCTAGTGTGTCCAGATGAGCAGGATCCTGGAGCAGAAGGGCCAGCACAGAGCCCAAAGTCAGGACTGTTTGTGGCCAGGCAGGCCAGAGTAGTCCTGGGTGTGGCTGGGGCCTGCACCTTACTCAGGGACAGCCAGCCCTCTTGAGGGTCACCTTATAGCAGGGAAGATAGGCCAGGACAGCCCAGGGGCCCCTTAGAACACAGAAGGGCATGTGGAAGCTGGTCCCTGGCCAAGATTCTGACGATGCCCACCACTCTAAGAGGATGTACCCTGTCTAGCCAGGTCATCTAGGCTAGGAGTCCTAGTGTAGGGGGTCCCATGACTATGCCGAGCACCTGCCCTGTCATCTCAGGGAAGGGGACAGCTGCTTGAAGCTAGGCACTGCCTCCCTGCTACCTCTCTGGGAATTATACCTGGAGCCAGAGCCAAGAGCTTCAGTGATGCCCTGACCCTCACTTGCACCCCCTATCCCTACGCTACTATGCTTGCCTTAGTGCTGTCAAGGGGAAGCTGCAATCTGTTTTATTTAAAGAAAGCACAAGATTAAAGAGTTTAAAGGCATGTATGCTGGGGAGGCTCTCATTTCTGCAGCCTTGCCTCCCCTGCACAGACTTATCCTCTCCCTGGATGCGTCTTCGGGAAGAACATGGATGGCATAGGTACCTCTGAATTCAGGCTAAGCCTGACGAGTCATGGGATTGATGCCAAGAGTGAGCAGCCTAGAACTCCAGCTGGCCTTCCTACCTACCCCTACCCCCAGCCTTTGAACTTCGCAGCCCTAGTCACAGGTCCGGGGCCCACCTTTTCTGTTTCCTTCCTTAGAGTCCCAGGAAGTCAGCAGGAAAGTAGGGTATAGGCAGCAGGGTGAGTAGGATCCTCGGGACTTAGAGCAGATGTTTTATGGGGGTGGGCAAGGGATTAGGTCTGTGCTTTACCCAACACAGTCCAGAGGGTCTGAAAAGGAGTGGGTTAATTTTAAGTAATTACTCAGCGATGGGGTAGGGAAGAAGAGGTTGTGTTAGTAGCATACAGCTGGGAAGACCTGTCCCATACCTCTGCCTTTGCCACCTCTGGCCCTGAACCTGTAGGCACATGGGTGGCTACTCATTGTCTTCATTTCAGGGCCTTTGGGAAAAGGGTTTTTCTCTTTCAGGGCTTGGTGGAGTAGAGGGCAGGAGATGGGCAGAGAAGAAAGGGCCAAGGGCAATCTAGCATGAGGGTCCTTGGGAGGAGGTAGGGCTGTATCATAGCAGGTCTCTTGAGTACTGCTAGACTCCCACTGGGACTCCAGATAGGAAACGTTAGGGGCTTCTCTGTCTCTGCCTGCAGGGCTGGAGGGGTACATTGCGTGAACTCGGTGTTCCCTGCTTAATGACCTAGATGTGTGGTCATTCATCTGGATGTGTACATAGGTGGGTAGCTCCAAGGTCAACCATGAGGCAAGGGCTGTTGCAGTTCTCTGTTGTCACTGGGGACCAGGTAGCTAAGCTAAGCTTGTGGCTCAGCGAGCTGCCCTCTCAGGTGCTAAGCCGAAGCTTTCCTGCCTCCCTGTGGACCCAGGACTAACTAGGGTTAGGCTTGATAGTTCCCACCTCTGTGTCTCTGACAGGGTTTGAGGCAGTACCCCAGCTGTTCCACTAGGGGGAAACATCTGCCCAGTCTTCACAGTGAGCCACTAGCCCTGGCCTCTGGCCTCCAAATCCCAAAGCTCAGTGAGAGTCTGAAATTAAACAGCAGTGCAGGGGAATTGCTCCATTGGGAGGACTGCAGGTATGGAGTTAGCCCTAGAAATGGTGTTAGAGGCTGGGTGGTGATGGTGCATGCCTTAATCCCAGCACTCAGGAAGCAGAGGCAGGTGGACCTCTGAATTTGAGGCCAGCCTGGGCTACAGAGCTAGTTCCAGGACACCTAGGGCTGTTAGACAGAGAAACTGTCTCAACCAAGAAAAGAAAAGAAATGGTGTTAGCTGGTGAGTTAGGGGGGCAGGTTGGCATCATAGATGTTAGGGGGAAACGGTGCTCCACACATCTCTCAGGGGTCCTGAGGGACCCTGCCATTGTCTAAGTTACTCTCCTCCTTGCTTGCAGTCAGTTGGACAGTCTGCTACCTTTTTCACAGGGCCCAACCCAGCCAATGGGACTCCAGTGCCATGGGCCCCTTAGCTGGAGAATCCAGGAAGTGCTTAGTGATGCAGCATTCGTGCCTGGGGTTATTCAGGCCCCACAGCTGCCACATGCTTCACAGATGGCAGAGCACTGTGGAAGGGACAGCCAGAGGCTACACTGGTAAGGGAAAGTAGCAGCCACAAGGCAAGGGCTCTTGGGTACTAAGGAGCATGAGCTCCTGGCTGGGGAGTCAGCCCTTGAGTGTCCACTGTCCCCTCTGTCCTCCATCCTCAGGAGCAGCCCTGGCCACTGCCCCTGGGAGTCCTCTGGGCCCAACATGGCATTGGGTCTGGAGTAAACATTGGTTACATTTGATTTCCCAGCTGTCTCAAGGAGTGGGAAGGCCATTATAAGAGGTGGCAGGGGTGTGTGTGACAGATTTTTGGAGATGGACACCCCAAGAAGACTAGTGTAGAGAGGTTACTAAGCATCTGTCTTCCTCTAGGCCCCCCTGTTGTGTTCTTGGCAGATTTGGCAGACCACAAATTCCTGGAAGCAATGAAATCCCAACTTCAAGCTTCCTTTCTGAGACATGGTGATGTTCAGGGTGCAGGGAGATATTATTAAGAGAGGGTTTCCTGGGCTGAGGAACCTGCCCTGGACTGAGATGGGCTAGTTTGCAGAAAGAGTGACCCAGTAGGCCTTTCTCCCTCTAGTTTTATATCTCTTCATCTGAGATACGAATGAGGGTCAGGAGCCTGGAACATGCCAGAACACAGCCTGTCTTCCCTGCAGTCTAGCTCTTTATATTCCCAGTGCCCAGCAAGGACAGGAGCCCCTTCGCCCTTGGCTTATTTTATTTTCCACAATTTGAGGGGAAAGCATGGGTGACCTGAGGCCCAGCGAGCTCTGCTCTCAGAGCCGTGCAGGCAGAGATGACTGCAGGATGCACCAGGCCCTGCCAGGAGAATAGATATAAGAGGAATGAGGCTCCTTGTGTGGCTAGAGGCCTGTCACCAAGCCTGGATCCCCTGAGTTGCAGAGGTCACGGAAGCAACAGTAGACAGGGTGGGCAACCCCAATGCCGTCAGGGTCGGTGGCCAGGCAGGAACTGGAGCAGGAGCGGGTCACCATAGGACTGTGGTTGAATGGGAACTCTGTAGGATGGGCAGATGTCAGAGCCAGAACCCACTACAGCTTCTGTCTCTCTGCAAACCCTTCCCATATCATTCTACCTTCTCAAATCCCTCCTGCAACCCACACCCCAGATCTGCCCAACCCTCAGCTGTGGCACATCTGCAAAGCATGTGCACTCCCAGCTCCTGAGTGGGGGCTCTAGCCCAAGTCACAGTAGCAAACACTGACAGCCATCCCCACCCCCTATCCACACACTACTATCTCAGTGCAGGTGCTTAAGGGCTGTCCCTCTACATGCACACACTGACACACAAGCACACACTGACACACAAGCACACATCATCCTGCCCCTCTGCCTCCTAGGCTGAATAGAACAATGGTGGATGAAAAGAAGCATGGGGTTGGGGGCAGGAGGTAAACCTGACCCCAAGTGTACCCTCAACCCTTGCCTTTGCCCAGCCTTACCTGCTTCCACTGTCTCCAGTACAGTCTTACAGGCTGTATCTTCCAGCTTGCACTGAGCAATATTCTTGCAGGCATTAATGGCTGTGGGCTGCTCACAGGTATAGCACCTGAAGGCTTCACCTATCAAGTGTTGGAGGCAGGCACAGTCTCACCACCTAGCTCCAGGGACCCATAGTGGAACCAGGTAGATGTGAGTGAAAGTGACCTCTTGAGATTCAAGACCCAGATGACTGACTGACAGACTCGAACACCATGTCTACCATCCAAGTCTGTCTCCCTCCCTGGAAAACAGGGCCATGGCCACGACTCCTGTCCCAGGACACAGTTGAGATCTAAAACCCAAAAGGCTCACCAAGGATCCAGAGGATGCCTTGGCTATAAAGCCTCCCAACACCTTTCATTAGGAGATGGGGTAAACTGAGGCCCACAGCAGACTCCCCCTGTTAGTCTCACTCCCAGCCACTCACCAGAGCCCATGTTCCAGGCTGCCAAGAGCAGCAGCCACATGGCCCAGCGAAAGGCCATTCTTCAGTCCTCAGGAGCTGGGAGCCTGGCTGATTTCATGTTTGAGGATTTATACTCAGCCTCCGGCTTCGGCTCCTGGGTGTTGTCAGGACCAGTGTGACTCAGTAGGGTGGCACAAGGCTGGGGATGTGGGTGGTTGATGGGAGCCATCATCACTTGCCATCCTGGGGTGGGGCTGCTCCACGGACATCTGGGGAGTCCCTGTCGGGAGCCCTGGTCCTACTTCTGCTGGCACACCTCCAGTACTAGACCCAGCCCTGCTGTCCCAAAAATGAGGAAGGCTTTTAGAGCTTGGCTCAACTGGCTCTCTAATGAGCCCCTTGCCTCAACTATGTCTGAGTGAATCTAATAAGCCAGATAGCCCCAGTCCTGAGGACTATACAGGAACTGCATCCCCATTTGCCTAGCCAGAGCCCAAGACTGATCTATGTACCCACAAAGTAGAGGCTGAGCCAGTATAGAAAGGGGGAGTGCCTGGTGAGGAGTAGGTGCTATGAGGGTGGATGGAAGTGGATATGAGGCATTAGACTGATGACAACTGCCAGACCCCCAACCATTAATGAATGGCTTTTCAATCAAGCTTGAGCTTCTTGCTTTAGTCCTGGCAACAGACTACCCTCAGGACTCCTGAACTGACAGTCTCTCTTGACTTCCTATGCCTTTTCCTGTAGTGGGCACACTGGCTATTTTTCTATGCCATAAGGACTATCTAGGCCTTCATCCTCCCCAGCCCTCCCCAGCTGAGGTCTCATTTTTTTCTCAGTTCTCCAAGGTTCTAATGTGTGGCCATGTGGGTGGGTAGGGGACAGGAAAATGAAGGAGGGAAAAAACGGCAAAAAGACAGGTGGATGGATGGATGGGTGGATGGTTGGATGTTGGGGTGGATGGGTGGAAGATGAGTGATAGACGGACAAGTATATGGACAGAAGCACGGTGAATGGATGATGAACTGCATGTATGGATAGATGGATAATACTTAGCTAAAAATAAGTGATGATAGATGGGTGACTACATAGGTGGGTCGGCAGCCTACATGTGTGTCTTTGTCAGGAGCTGGTAAGTGGGCCACCTGTTACAGACTGTGACAGCAGAGTTATAGCCTAATCTTGCGACAGAGTGGGAGTCAAGAAGGAGCGTTGGCCCAGGTGCCTAGGAGACATGGGTTTTTCTCGTGGCCTTTCAGCTTTTTCTATGTGTGGCCTTGGGATGCCCCCCTTGTCTTTCCAGACCTTGGTTTCCCATTTATGAGGTTGCTAGGGCAGAAGTGACCTGGCACTGTAGGGTGAGGCCATTGTACAAGGTTTGCATGAAAGTAAGGAGAAGGTGTGGCTAGCAGAGGGAGCGACTGCAGTTCCTACAAGTTAAATAGTGGGACTACTCATCCCTGGGGCTCTGTCCACAGACCACACCCAGAGGATGGGAGATGAGCCAGAGAATGTCTGATTCTGAAGTCTGGGAGACTGAGTCTAGATCTTGCCTGCTGGGTGACCTAGGCCTGCTCACTGGGCATCCACTCTGGTCTCCCATTCTTTCATCTGTAAATGGGCAGATGAGCATCCACTGTACCTTGCTCAGCAGAAGTGGGTTTTTATGGCCCTGTAAGGCCCTTTGTACCTCAGTGCAGGTGAACTTGGAGCCCAGGGCTGGAGAGAGAGAGTTGATGAACAGTACAGGCTTGTGTATTAAGAACAGGAGATCCTGACATGAGGCTGATGCAAGGCTGCCTGAAGGGCCTGCTTGTCCTGGCTTTGGAAAGGAGGGGTGACCTCACAGGTAGGGGAGGTGCTGGGTGGAGCAGCAGCTAGGAGAGGGGACACAGCATTCTTGTGGGGGATCATGCCACTCCTCTAGCCCCCATTGGTAGGGTTGGGAAGGCAGCATTGTGTCTGGGTCAACACTGCTGGGCAGGGTAGAATTTATGCCCTTGTTTGGCAGCTTCTTTATGTAAGTTCACACCCTCTTCCTTGGTCCCAGGTGTAGAACCTGGAGACCAGGTTTGAACTCAGCATAGGATAGTGTGAGACTTGGAGGGCTAACTCACCCTTCTGAGCCTGGGAAAGAGATTCTCCATGAACCTGAGTGCTGCAGATGCTGTGATGTGGCCCTGGGCCAGTCATTTCTCCTCTCTGAGCCAGTCTAATCTTTAAATTGGAATGATGACAGTCCTAGCCCTTGGGGTTGCTAGGATGCTGAAATGAGGGAATGTGTGTAAAACCTGCCCAGGCCAACCAAGACTGCCTGAAGAAACCAACAGAGGCTCTGACAAGATTCCCCCAAATTGTCTCTTGCACCTGCTCTGACAGGGACCTCTAGGTCTCTCTTCAGGTCTGTACAGGCACCCGAGGCAATCTCCAGCTTTTATGAAAGCTGGAACCATGGGCCACTGCTTGTTCCCTCCAATCCAGATGGCCATTGTCCAGCTCTAGCCGTCTGCCAGATCATCCTGTCTGTTTCTGGGAGTCTGGCTCCTCTTCCTTGACTGCACCCTCTACCTTCCACTGAAAGGCACTGGCTAAAATGCAAATCACACCACTTGCTACTCTTCTCAGAAACTTCTCCTGGATTTCTATTGCCTTAAGGGCAGAATGCTCCACCCCTTGGTATGTGATGCTTGCCCTTCCTGCCTCCTGCTGGAGTATCAACATTGCAGGTGGAGGAACATTTTTCCATTGCTTTAGGTCCCTTCCCACTTCCAACCCAAGCCTGGCCATGCTGACTGTTGAGGGCATTTGCTGGAGGAGGAAAGGAGGGATGGAAAAGAGGTGAATGGATAGATGGACAATAGAATAGATAGATGGTATGAGAGGATAGATGGATGAGTGGGAGATGAAGAAAATGGTGGGTGACTGGGTAAATGGATGAATGTTTGAAAAGATAGAGAATGGATGGGTAAATGGATGGGTGGACAGTGGACAGATGATAGGTAAGATGGATGGGGTGGGCAAGTAGATGAATAGATTAAAGGATGGGTAGCCACCAGGCATGGTGGTACTTGAAAAGTGGAAGCCAGAGGGTCAAGAGTTCAAAGCATCTTCATCCACAAAAGTGAGTTTGAACCATACTGGTCTGCATGAAATCCTGCCTCAAAAAGTGATGGGTAGGTAAAATAATGGAGAACTGATGGGTGTATGGATGAGAGGATGATGGGTAGGTGATAGGAGAGTTGGATGGAAAGATTTGTTGTGGTTAAATGTATGGATAGGTGGGTAGACAAGATGATGGATGAATGGACAGATGGAATGATGAGTGAATTAGAAGATATAAAATGGATGGAAATCAATGAATAATAGAACAGATGGATGGATGGATGGATGGGGTGGTAGGTAGAGGGATAAAAGGGTGGATGGATGAATGATGGGGTTTGTGTACAATTAAGTCAGGGGTTTGTTATTTCTTCCAAAAAGATCTATGATATTGCTATCTATAGCCCAACCTAGACCTCAGACTGCCCTTTCCTCAAGGTAAAAATGGCTTTTCTTGTAGCCCTTTGTAGAACGCAGTTGTCACAGGCCTGGAAACCCCAGGAATGAAGAACTCACCTCCTTTTAGGACCACCCTGTGCTCCCCAAAACAAATCTGTCTCTGAACATATTGTTTGGGAACTTAAATTTAGTTCTCTGTTCAGGACAAGAGCAAGGCTGGGAATGTAGAGAGGTTGTTGGTTAGTTCTGATTTCAAAACCAGAAGGATGGTGTTGGGTGTGTGTTCTGAAGGTGTTAGGCCTCAGGAAAGGGTTGGAACTTACCATATCAACTAGCCCTGTGTTGGAGTAGACCACTGGACACCCAAATTGCTTTTCCTTCCTTGCTTGGAGCTGAATCTTCATCCAGCTGAAGTTAGAGGCCCTCAAACTATCAGACCGTTAGGCTAAACTCTGCCCTATCTTCTTCCTACTGATTGATAAACTTCCTGGATTGCACATTGGTCAGGCCCTTGGTAAGGATGGGCCCTGCTGAAGCACCCCACTTCTGACCAGTGATGTGGAGAGGTGGCCCGCCGACAGACTCAGTTTTAGCTAGTCCAAAGACAGGGACGAGTCTCTGGAAGAGAGGCTCACAGCCAACGAGACTGAGGTCAAAGAATGTTATGGGTTCCACATAAGCTATACCTGGGCAAAAGCTGCAAACTAAACCCCTTCTATGGTGACACACTGGGTCCTGATTGTGGTCACAGACAAAACTGACCCTAGTTTTAGGCTGCTTCCTGATCCCTGGGACTTAATCTCTGGTCATAGACTGAGTCTTGCTCTATGGTCATAAACCGAGCTCTGCTCTCTGGTCATAGACAGCCCAAATCTCTTATCACAGGCAGGCCTTGTCCTCAGCCTCTGTGGTGGCCTGTGGAGTGGCTGTCCATGTTATACAAGAAAAGTTAGGTGAGAAAATGTGATGTGATAACAGGACAATGCCCCCCACCCTGTTGACAAAGTCAGAACTCAGAATCACACACACAGATGTGGGTATCCAAGCTAGCACAAGAATTGTAGATTTTCATTATTAATATTCTAGAAGTCTACTCATTCTCCCTTCAGAGGCCTACAGACAGAGATCTATAATGCTTGGGATTGATTGTACCCCAAGACTTGTGGTGGGCCTCACTAGACTGTGGGAGCCCTGACCTCGGAAGCTGGCTCAAGACTGAAGAGCTCCACATGAGGCAAGAATGTAGACCCCCCAAGTCCCAAGGACAGGGAGCCTCATGTCCAGGTTTGGAGTGTCCTCAATGGCACTGGCCATGGGACCCTAGCCTGGGACCAGAGCTACCTTTGGAGGTTATGACCAAGAGGAAGATCCCTGGATCCAGGGTCAAAGATTGGGGCAATAATGGAAGCAAGACTAACTGAAGATGCTATCAGCTGAGTGAGGGGCTCACTCCTACAGAGTCCCAGAAAAGGGAAAGTAAGCAAGGTGATGCCAGTGAGGGGCAGCAAAGACATCTGCAGGTCAGGGAGGAGAGAGGTGGGTTCCATCAGGAGAGGCGGAGTCTAGTCTTTCTGGTGAGCTTCTCTAGTCCAGCCTCTGCCCACTTATCAAGCTTCCCCACAGGCCCTAAGGCCCAGAAGGCAGCAATTACCTGGTTGACATGGGTGTCCCAGGCCTGGTGACTGTCCTTGCTTATCATTTTAAACTTTAGGAGAAAGGAGAGAAGAACAGGGATAGAGATGGAGTCAGAGATGTAACAAGGAAGACCCTCTCCCTGCCCATAAGGCAGGTCAGTACCCAGGAAGAAGACTCAAGAGGCTGATGCAAGTGGCCATTGTACTTCTTCAAGTCATCAGGGAACTGGACTGTCAGGGATAAAAGGGAAGAACAAGATGACCATGGCTTTACAGCAGGTGTTCCAAGATAAAGATAAGTGCTGGGGCAAGGACCAGGCCCCCAGGACTGCCCAGATTGGGTGCTCCATCCATGTTGCATAGGTCAGAATTGCAGCAGGACACTGGCCGAGTTAACCCAATGCCATCCACGTCTGAGGGCTCACACTTGCTGGCACAGGACTTGGTCACCGTGGAGTCCCCCAAGAAGGGAAACACTGTAGGATGCAGAAGTGTCCACCAGAAAGATCAGTCCTTTACTGACTCCATACCCCAACCCCAGGGGCCACCCATGCTGGGTTCACCCACCCCACTGGCCTTTCACCAGGACCACAGGTGCCTGTGACATACAAAGGACATCTATGGCATTGGTCTGGAGGGTGATTTGTACATAAATTGTAAAACCCAAGCTGTAAGACAGCCAACCCTTCCCAGAGGATTCCAACAAACTACAAGTGTCTCCCATCATGAGGGGAGAAGGGAAAAGAGGGAGGCCTGATGGCTGGGAAATGGTGGAAGGGTGCAGACTGTGTGGAAGCCCAGTGGGCCAAGATCACTGGTCTGGAGGGGCTATGACCCTGGACCTCAGTTCTGTCCCACCCAGAGCCTACTGACCAATCTCCCGGGAATAGAGCGTGGTCTTGCACATGGTATCATTGATGTGGCAGGTGGTGATGGCGACACAGTTGGACACACTCACAGGATCCTGACACGTATAGCACTGTAAGGCCATAGCTGGGAAAGAGGTGACAAGAGGACAGTGAATGGGCCAGAACCCATCTGCCGGTAATGCCCAGCTCTGCCATGGAGGCTTAGTATAAGGAGACAAGGACATTAGCCAAGGGGCCAGCTGCTCACTGACCAAGCCCAGGGATGATACCATGACCACTGAGCTAGGTCTTACAGAATGTGCCCCTGGAAGAATGGGCTCAGTCTGGGGCCAGGATGAGGCCAGCTAGTTTGGAATGATCATCAACACACACACACACACACACACACACACACACACACAAACACGCACGCACGCACACACACACACACACACACACACACACACACACACACACACACAGAGCCACAGGCCAGTTTCAAGCAGACATGGTTAAGGCAGGTGCCCTTCTACTTCCTCATCGTCAACTGCTCTTTCTGTTGCAGTGCCACCTGTCCTGGGATCAGGCAAACAGGTCCTTGGAGCACTGGGTGGGAGCTACACCTAGGTTCTCACAGGTGCCAGCGTGGCAAATGTGTCCTCTCTCAGGGGAGGAGTGCAGGTATAGAGCCTGACACTTCATCTTGCCCTCATCCCAGCAGCCCCAGTATGTTTGACTGTCTCCAACTGGTCTAAACAATCCCGGATTCACAGAAAAGTCACCTCCCCACTCCACAGTCACTTGGTAGTGCTTCTGCCTCTGGCCAACTCAGTCTCTAGAAATGTATAGGACCGCCTGGCTGACGTCCATATCACGGAGCACCTAACTGGTTACATGTCAACATCATGTAGTTACCACATATTCTCTTAAACCCTGAGTCCAGTGGTCACCCCATCTCTGGACATTCCTGGTCCCCTTTCTCCCTCTACATCTCCAATGTACACAGCACCCCAGGCACTCTGCTCCAGTGTCCCAGATTTCCTTACTCCCCCAGCTCAAAGACCTTCCCTAGAAAACATGCTAAGACTCTGTAGCCCCAGCTGGCACCTAGGACTTTGCTGATGGCTTCTGTCTGTCTGTCCGGTCCCAGCTTTGCCTTCTTCCTCTCTGAATCCCCCCCCCAGGTACTCTCTGAAGCCAGTCCCAAGAAACACCAACCCTGCTGCCCCCACACTCCCCTATGCTCACCAAGCTCCCCGCAGGTGGCCAATACCAGTGCCAACAGCACCATCCAGGTCCCCTGCATAGTCCCAGTGTTCACTCTGGTCTGCCAGGTGGGGATGCTGGAATGCCTACAATGGTGGTCTGACCGGTTGGCAAGGGATTAGAAAGGGATAGGATTTCTGGAGGGCCGGCCCTGCCTCCTCACCAACACCCCATTCTCAGGGGCACTCCTCAGGCTCCTTCCAGACCATACCCAGCCCCCCTCAAACTGTTCTTCCATCCCTTCCTGACCCTGGGGCTGCTTTCCTCTCCCATTGGGGGCCCTTCCACACCACCCCTGCAAACTCCTAGCCAAGGGGATCTTCCAGATTTCTCCTTCTGGGACAGGTCAGGGGTCTCCAGGCTGCACAGAATGGGATGGTGGGGTTGAGTTCTCCTGCCCACTTCCAGCTATCTTAAAGACCCTTTACCGTGTGTCCAGCTACTGTCTGCAGAGCAGAGCAATGGCCAGGCTGCTCTGGGCCAGAATCTTTCCAAGGTGATCTTGGCCCTCCCACTCCTCCAAAGTAGTCAGTGAGAAGATGGGGTGTGCTGAATTGCCACTGACAACCAGTCCAGAGTTTGCTCAAAGGCTTAAGGAACAAAGGCAGAACTTGCCTGATCAACAGAAAGGTTTCTGAAGGAAGGGTGCAATGGGAAGGGCCAAAGGTGGCTTTAAGTACTATTCCATGTTTCCTGGAGGGTCATCCACTCTGGGCTTGTCTGTACACCTCTATCTCAAATGTCCCATGGGTTGATCTCAGGCAGGAGTTCCCTGGGCCCACCTACCTCCCTCTACCTCCCTTCACTAAAACTCCAACTAAAGTTGGAGCTGTGGTTTTCAGCCTGTGGCTAGCCACCCCTTTAACAAACCTCTAGTTCCAAAAATATTTACACTACAAGTCATAATAATAGCAAAATTACAATAGTATGAAGTTGCAATGAAAATAATTTTATGGTCGGGAGGTCAGCACAACATGAGAAACTGTATTAAAGGGTCAGAGTCATGGCATTAGGAAGGTTGAGAACCACTGGGTTAGAGGAAAGGAAGTTTCTCCTCTCTCTCTCTCTCTCTCTCTCTCTCTCTCTCTCTCTCTCTCTCTCTGTGTGTGTGTGTGTGTGTGTGTGTCTTTCTGTGTGTCTGTGTCTATGTGTCTGTGTGGTGTCCTTGCCCCCAGATAGGAGGCTGTGACAGGGATCCCCATGGCCTGGCAGCACTAGCTCCCTGATTCCCCATAGGCATCTCCAAAGAGGATCCTATCTCAGTTGAAAAGCATAGGGGTGGAGGCACAGCAGCCAGATTCTTTGCTAGTGGTCAAGGCCACACTGTTGTTGGGCCTTCCAGGAGACTTGTGGACATCCAAACCTCACTCCTGTCCTGGCTTTACTCTTGCTGTACAACAGCAAGGGGTGCCCATTCTTGCCTCTTCCCTGCCCTTCCAGTTGAAGTGATCGTTGTGAGTCTCCATCTTAGTCCTTTTATGGTCCCGGGGATTTCTGCTAAGCAGTTCCACTGAAGTCTAGCTTCACCCTGCATAGGAGATCCTCATTTGCCTAGGCATGAACCAACCACTGGACTTTCCAAGCCTAGCATGAGTCAGAGAATTGGCCTACCAACTGTATTTTTCCTCATGACAGTTCTGGAGGAACAGAGTGCTAATTAATTTTAGTGTGGATAAAGAAACTAGGTTCCGAGAAGCTAATTGACTAAGACAAGGTCACCTAGCAAGCCAGGCAGCATCCCAAGCCTGTCTGATTTTGCAAATCATTCACCACACATGGCCATGACCACACAGCATTAGGCACAGATGTGCTGAAGTTAACTGGATTACAAAGCCTACTCGATGCCCAAGTGTCCTTAGGTCGAACCCAGTCCCTCCACCACACCCAACTCAGCTCAGCTCCTTCCTGTCCTCAGGCCCAGGGGCCCCACCTCTGTCTCACCCCCTGGAATATACCTGTCCCCTAGGCATCACTGTCCCTAGAGTTTCCACCATTGCATTGGGAGACCCAGGCTGTACTTGGGAAACTTCCATCATGGGGCAGGGAGGAATGTAGCTCAGCCAGGGTCTGGGCTGGCTCTGTCTGGGAGGCCTCTGTTCTGAGAGGCCCACACCCTTCCCTTCTCAATTCCAGGAACCTTTGGCTCAAAGCTTAATGCATGACTAGGGTCAAGTCTCACAGTGTAACCTGATCAAGACTCAGAGTATAAAGGGATCAGGGCTCAGAGCCTGTGACCAGGGTCAGGGCTCAGAATATGATCCGAGTGAAAACTCATAGTATGACCAGGATCAAGATCAGGGCTCAGTATTCAACCATGGTTGGGGCTCAGAGTGTGAACAAGATCAGGTCTCAGAGTGTAGCCAGGAATAAGGCAAGGTGATTGGGATCAGGGGTTAGTATATAACCAGGATCAGTTCAGAGTATGACTGGGGTCAAGTCTTATGTGTGTCTGGGCTTCAAGCTCAAAGGGTGACTGTGGAGAACCTCCACAGCACTGCTACTATGCTAGGACATTGTAGGTTTTCTTCTGGGGCTACTGACATTGAGAAGTCATGCTGGAACTGTGACTCAGTCATATTCCACCTTTTTGCCCCTCTCACACTGCACAGCCACTGATTTTCTAGGCATACCCAGACTCTGCAGGGGAGACACCTCCCTCTGGCTGCAGCACTAAAGAAATGTGCTTGATTGGTGCGTGAGAAGAAGCCCTTGAGCAGGGACTCTGCATGGATTCCTGCCACTGCCTCTCAAGGTAATGGATATCAGCCCCAGAGACCTGGCTTAGATGTCTGGGAAAGGGAGCCGTGGTTACCTCCCGGATCCCAGGACAAGCTATGGAGAGAGGGGGGTCTGTCTGGATAGGTGACCTCCCAAGTTCAGGAGAGCCCTGACTCTGCCTTCTCTGTCTGCACTGAATGTTGTGGATCTTCCTTCATCCTCTCACGCCATCTCCCAGGGAGCATCCATAAACACCGTAAGCACGAGAGCAGGTCATGCCAGGGCAGTTTGTAATCCTATACCCCACCCACAGCCACTCAGGATTATTCTGGCCATGCTCAGCCTCAACCCAGAATGTTCCATTAAGGGAACAATACCTACATGCCTTCCTCCCCGGCTAGTCATGGGTCCTCTCCCTGCAGCCAGGCTCTTCTGACCTTGGAAGGCCAAAGGGCTCTTATTCTTCTGTGCCCCACAAAGGGGCATCCAGGAGAGCAGACAAGTAGCTCTTTTTGCTGTTGTTTTGTTTTGTTTTGTTTTGTTTTGTTTTGTTTCTCAAGACAGGCTTTCTCTGTGTAGCCCTGGCTGTCCTGGAATTCACTCTGTAGACCAGGCTGGCCTTGACCTCAGAGATCCAACTGCCTCTGCCTCCTGAGTGCTGGGATTAAAGGTGTTCACCACCACTACCTGGCCAGATGAGTGGCTCTTAAAATTCCCACACCAAAAAGAAGTGAACTCACAAACAGGACCCAGGACAGTACTCTGGAAAGAGGCCACTGTACTCTGTTCCTCCAGGATCTTTCTAGGAGGATGCTGGTATGCATGAGCCCCTGTGCACCAGCTTTGGGACCCATGAGTATTAGATATTCACAGTTTCATCCTTAAAGGGAGGCAGTAGACATCTCTGTACCTTTTTACCCACTAGCCAGATGTCAGAAGAATGTTTCTAGAAGGGCAGAGTCTGGTCTCAGGGGAACTAGAAACGTCCCTCCTCACTGTCCCTGGAATCATAAGCCACCTTAGTCTTCACTGCCTTAGTGCACCTTTCCAGGAGGCACCCAGGAAGATAAACATGGCGGTAATTGTGGTCTAACTGAAGCCCTTCCCAAAGGACCTATGTGTGGAGTCCTCAGAAGAAATCATTAAAGATCACCCCACATTCAGACATCTTTAGACTCCGAAACTGCACTTCAGCCTGCTAGATAGTCCCTCTCCTGAAAGTCTGCCTTGAAGCCTCTGATTTTGCAAATTAGTCATCCTGCATTGACATGGCCACCCAGCAGTGGGCACAGATGAACTGAAGCTAGCTGGGTTAGACAAGAGACACATGTAGTAGCTTCTCCCCTTGCCAGGGAATTTGTGTTAGTGGCCACACCCCTTTGGGCGTGGCTTCGGGTGCGTATGTGACTGCAAGGTGGAGAAACGTGGAGGAGGGCACTCTCTCTTTAGGGTTGCGGATCTTGTCAGAACGGCAGAGACCGCGTCTTCTGGAGCAGGAACGCAGCGGCGGTCCTTACTATTATCTGTGTAAGTTGTTTCCCAATAAAACACCCATTTATCATTTCTCATTGCTACCCCACCTTCAGACACCGGTGTCTAAAGAAGCAGTATCCGGCAGACTTCAGGCTACTTCCGAGTCTGCCCATTTCCCTCCGAGGAGTAGCACCGGAGGCCACCTCCCACATGCCTCGCCCCAGTATCGTTCATGGACGCTCTTTAGTGCCTGTGTCATAGCCTTGATACTAAGTGTGATGAAGCTCTCTCCTTTCTCCCTACCTCAGCACCCCTCTTTTCTTGGGCTCTCTGTGTGAGTCCTCTGATCATTTCCTGTGGCACTGCCCTGTGGGCACACATAGAGTGTTTCTTGGCATGTAGGACAAATGTTTCCTTCTTCTTCTGCCTTTCAGTTTTGCTAACAGACCCCTTTTGCATAACACAGGCTGGCCTGAACCTTCAGTCCCAGACTCCCAAGTACTAGGAAGCTTCTGTGTGTATATTTTACAGATTCTTTTTTTTTTTTTTTTTTAGATTTTTTTTTTATTTCAAATTAGGAACAAGCTTGCTTCACATGTCAATCCCTTCTCCCTCTCCCTGCCCTCCCTCACTCTTCCCCCTTCCACTGACCAACCCCCCCCCCGTATTTTACAGATTCTTATGTAGTAATTAATGATTAAAAATTTCTCCCTTCCACTGACCAACCCCCCCCCGTATTTTACAGATTCTTATGTAGTAATTAATGATTAAAAATTTATATTTTGCATCTTGTTTATCTTTTTCTTTTTCTTTGTCTTTGTTTTTGTTTTTTTGAGACAATGTGTAGCCCCGGATGTCCTAGGACTCACTCCGTAGATCAGGGATTCTTCTGGGATTAAAGGTGTGTGCCACCACTGCCTGGCTATCTTTTCTTTTTAATTTTCAGTGGCTTTATTGACTATACCTCATGTACTTGGCAGCTCACACATTTCCGACTGTATCAGTTGTTGATTGTGGTGATGCCCACCTGTAATCTCTGCATTTTGGTGCCTGAGAAATGATTGCCAGGGGTTCAAGGCCAGCCTGGGATATGTAGTGGCATGCTGGAGAGAAAGGGTTGGGGGAGATCCCACTACTGAGCTCAGTAGTTTAGACATAGCCATAGACATCTGCATCTAGTTGGGTTGATATGCTCCATTCCTACAGCACTGGGAAAGGTACTCTTGGTTTTCAGCCAAATTTCTTGACACACAGCTCCTTAAAACTCTTGGAAACCCTGTAGCAATAAGAGTGTCATAATTTTATAAGTTGATGAGTGACAAGTGGAGGGATGCCCCTCATTATTAGTTCCAGGATGGGGTTGATTACCTGAGAGATACCTGCACAATAGGAGGGTGAGGACTTTTATCCTCACCCTAAGTCTCCTCTGGAGACAGGAGAGGGACTGAAAGTTGAACTGATCACCAGTGGTCAATGATGTAACCAATCATGGCCACATGATGAAACCTCCATAAACCCCCAAAGGGACAGAACTCTCAGTCTCTGGGTCGCTTAACAAGGGAGTTTCTGGGCTTCTTGGGAAGATAATGAGAAAGTAATTATGCCTGGAGAGGCATGGAGGCTCTGATGTTCTTTACTGAACCCCAAGAATTCAGGTGACACTTTTACCCATTTTTTTAAAAATCAAGGACATGACCAAAGATGCCAAAAACACAGTATCGAAAGACAGAGAGTGAAGGATGTGAGATGGGCATAGCCTTGGGGACAGAGCCTCAACCTCTAAGATCTGATGAGAGCTGCACATGGTATCTGAGTTGTATTGGAGAATGGTCAGCTGAAGCCCACTGCAGGATTGCTTGCTGGCTGGCAAAAAGCCTGAAAGTTAATGACCCCAGGATGAGAATTTTTCTTGTCAGATCCCATAAAACTAGACACAGGCAAGAAGATGTGGCGAGAAGACTCCTGTCCTGTCTGGGACAATGATTTCCTCAGGATCCCTGTCAGAGGTTTCTTGCTCGGCACACACCCTGTGCTTTGCATGCCCAGCACAAAGACTCACAGACTTCTGTATCTGCAGCAATTTAGACAAGGACAGCTGTGCCTTGGACAGCAGAGTCACCACTGACCACAGTGGCCAAGCCCCTCCCTACATTTTCAAGACCAACAGACTGCTACCCAAGCAGCTTAGGCACAATTCTCCCACTCACCTTTCTCTCTGCCACAACCTCTGTCACAATGACATGTGTTCCCATCCTAGTGTTCTGTCATCCCCAAATAAATACTCCACTCTTGGAGAATCTTTCTGCTATTTAGAGTGACCAAAGAAATGGACGAGCATCTTGGTGATGAGAGATGGTGAATGGTGCCACAGAAGGACATGCTTTTGAAGTCTCCTCTTGCCCTGTACACATCTCTCCAGCATCTGTTTCTAGTCTGCCCTAAATCTCGCCATTTCATGCAGAGTTCTAGAGAACACAGTATTCTGCAGTGTTTTCAAGGGTCAACTCTGCAGGAGTGTGTCAGTACCTTACTCCTACAGGTTGGTGACTAGGACTTTGCGGCTGGAAGGATGCCATATTGTATGCGTTCATTCACAGTGATGGGTGTGTGGGTTTCCAACCTGTGACTCTGCTCTGAGTGACTGTGGTTCAGTTTCCATGGACATGTTTCCTCTTCTGTGTGTAAGTCCAAGGGGTAACCCTTCTGGGTCGTACCATAACCTGGGTTTAATCATTCAATTAATCATTAGTGAGCACAGAGTCATGTTTGAGGTCTTTTCTCTTCTGAATGGGCTAGCATTTAAAGAATTTCTTTTTAGCCATGCAGGAAGCTGAGCCAGCCTAAGCTATACAGTGAGATCAGTTCTCAAAGCAAACAAAAGGTGTATGATTTTACTTTGAAGTTTTGAACTGGTGAGAGAGGTCTGGACCCATTTCTTCTTGACTTTACATCTGGGTACCAATATGCAGCTAGCTGTTCTTCCTGACTGCCCTAGGCATCACTGACTGCCCTAGGCATCACTGTTGCTCATCGCATGAGCTTCCTCTTTTCCGTGTTTTGGCTGCTGCTGAGGCCCCAGCTTTCTGTCAAATTAATCTCTGCTTGGATATTGTCCTTCTCATCAGTGTCACCTTTTACAAGTGTTGATTTTTGTGAGAACTTTGCCAAATTGAGAACAAGCAAGTTAAAGTCAGGGCCTGCCTCTATGCCTCTGAAACCAAGAACCCAAAACTTATCTCTAGGCCTGGTTGGGAGCCAGTGAGTAAATATTTACAAGTAACTTCCACAAATTCTGTCTATGTGTGTCTGTCATGTCTATACTGAGGTGAGTGGTTATGCTGTTTGGGCAGCTCTACCCAGATGCCCCAGGGGAACAGCTTTCCCACTGCAGATTTCTGATGGGTGCCTGGAGGCAGAGCTCCTACTCAGGGCCACACAGGGTTTGATAGATGGGCAGCCTTCTGAGAGATATAGGCAAGGTTAACCAGGCAAGTACATGATAGAAAGATAGAACAGGAAAAGGTGCCAGAGACACAGGCCAAGAAGATAGCAGAGTTCCCTGAGAGCTCCTGACAACAGGTGGGTGGTCCCAAAAGAGCTATGGTTAGCGAACATCACTCTCCTCTGCAGAGCCTTCCTCCTCCACCTGCTCAACTGTGGGTCTGTAGTAGGTTCTGTGGTCTCATTCAGAATAAAGATGCTCATTGATTTCAGGTCAGAGCTCCTTTCAGCCTTCAAGCCCCGGTCAGGGTGTTCCTCAAGTGTCCCAAACCCCTATCAAGGCTGTCCCTTAAGTGCCCTTATTCCAAAGTTAGAGTTCTCCCCAGCTCTCAGCCCCTTGTTTGGGTGCTCCTTGGCCCCCAGTACCAAGTTTGGGGCACTCTTCTGCATATCAGCCCTAGATCAGGGTGATGCTCAGGTGCTCCAGACTCAATTTGGGATGCTCCTCAAGTGCCTACAGACTCAGCTCCAACCCCTCACAGCTGGCTCAGAGCAGCGCCAGCCATCTGCAGCCCCCTGTGCCTTTCACACCCTGTGTCTACCTGGAAATAGCCATGCTCTTCGTGGAAGAGAGAAGGTCAGTGGAGGCTGCAGCAGACAGCCTGGACCAAGGAAGCCATGACTGACAAGAGATGGGACCGGGTTAATGAATTGCCTGAATCTGGTGCCTGATACACTACTTTCATTGGACAACTCATACTATGGGATCCAGCTGCTTTTTATTGGGAGGTTTGTTGACACTGAGGGTGGCCCACAGTGGATTAGGGCCTTACGTTTGTACCACAGTGGATTTATACAGGGTTTCACTCTGAACTTCCTGAGGAAGTCTGAGTTGGGGGCTTTGGGTTGGCCAGGCTGGAATTATCTCCAAGGACCAGGCCTGGGCATAGTTCTGTGGGGCTAGCTGGTAGTGATAGAGTGTGGTCAGTCTCTGTTGCAGAGATTGGACTGGCAGCAAACAATAGATACATGAGGACCTAAGCCCAAGCTGCGGACCTCAGGGCAGCCATTGTAGCACATCTTCGTCACCAGAGGCAGGTCTGTAAAGCTGATGGGAGATCCTGGGGGATAAGAGAGAGACCATGATGCTTCCTGAATCTTTGAGCTGCCCAAATCTCTGTCACATCAGACATTGTGCTGAGGGTCACCCCTAGGCACTGAGAGCCCCTGCCTGGTCCCTGCCCCAGACAGAGGTTGCCAGCCACCTTCCTACTCTGCTTTTGGTCTGTTGGCCATCACATTGGCTTTGGGCTCTGCCTGCCCATTAGGCCAGCTCTCTGTGCAAGAAGGGTGTGTCCAGCCCACCCCTCCCACCACACTCACGGGTGGCAATGATGACACAGTGGGTGGAATTCCCTGGGCATCTGTACTTGCCGGAACAGCCTCCAAAGTCCTTGCACAGGTGGCACCACAGGCCCTCTGTTATAGCTATAGGTAGACAGAGACAGGGGCAACTGGTGAGCAATTCCTGCAGAGGGTGTATCCAGGACCTCAGCTGCATTCTCTGCCAGCACCAAGTCTCTGTAGCCCAGCTTCCCAACTGTTTTTATATTGCAAAGTCCCTCTAGACCTTGGAGGAAAAGCTAAGTGAGATCCTGGTGTTCAGCCTACCACTGTGGGAGATACAAGTGATCCTGTTGGAACCATCTGGCCTGTGTCCCTCTGCTCAGAGCACCAAGAACTGGATGGAGCAGAGGTGAGAACTTCTGGAGGAGGGAAGTGCAGGTTCAGGTGCCAGGGTGGGGGAGGAGTGGGACCTGAGACTTTAGCTATGTCCCCTTTACCTCCAGGGACCTGAGAAGGATCAATTTATACCCTTTGATGTAAATGTTCTGTGGGTTGAGATGATGGGGGCTTTATCCAATTAGTGGGGGATCCAGGGCAAGGCCAGGCAGAAGGAAGGTGGGAACTCACTGAGTTAGGTTCACAATTTTCCTGACAAATACTAAGTCACTAGTCTTGTATTCAGCCCAGGGGGTGCCAGTCAGGCAAGTGGCCTCCCATGCTCTCTCTGGATTCCCTCATCTGTCTCTCTGCCTCTTCCCAGGCTCTTTGCATCTCTCTCGTGCTTCCTTAAGCTCCCTTCCCTGGATTACAAAACCCCTAAGCCCATGCCCATCCCTGTGTACTTTACAGCAGCTGCTGAACAATGATCCTGAATAAGTCCAGAGCTGACACAGAGTGGGAAGCTACTAGGCCCTGTCCCAGTCTAGCTGGGCCACTAAGTAGTCCTGGAGAGTGGAGCTCCCCCTGGGGCTCCCTCTATAGCCACAGCTCTACCAGACCTCACATGTATGTTGGTCAGTTCTGGCCCGTCTCAAAAGCCAGGCCTTCATCCTATACACTATGGAGCAGGGGACAGACAGGAAATCCACACCACAGCAAGGTCCTCACCACTTGCCTTGATTGTTTACCATCTCTGCAGAGCAAGCTGAGACCTTGTCAGGGACACAAAAGGTAGCAACAAAAGCCCCCGAGCCTGTAGCTATACCATGGATGTTAAATACACTAAACAGACTGAACATGGATTCTCCAGACAGCAGCTGACTGAGGAGCAGGTGTTTGGGGCACCAAAAGGAACAGGCAAGGTGCTGGGGAGAATAGCACTGGTACTACCTACCATTCCTCTTCCTCTCCAAGTCTCCTAGCTTTGCCCAGGCTCATCTTTCCATCATCCATGTAACACAAGCTAGCCTCAGCTCATAGATCATCTCCTCCCAGGGAGCCGCTTAACTCTGGGGCATCAGTCCTCCTTTGATGCATGGACTGGCCTTGTTATTTTCACTAGGGTTCTGGATAAGAATGAGGTACTCTTCCCATTCCCCAGTGCCCCACAAGTATCCATCATACTGCACCCTGGTGCACTGATGAGTCACAGGAGATGTTTAGAAAATAAATGAAAGAATGATCTCTAGGAGTTGGAGCAAGAGCAGGGTCATTAAGACAAAAAATAACCATCCCTCTTGTGTGTGTGTGTGTGTGTGTGTGTGTGTGTGTGTGTGTGTGTGTGTGTGTGTGTTTTCATCAAGGAGGAAGCCAGGAAGGTTTAGCTCTCAAAAAGAAATTGGCTCTGGGATCAGTGATAGGTCAAGGTCAGCACTTGCTTAGAGAGAGAGAACTTTGGGGAAGAGGGTGAGAGAGATGATGGGATGAGCCTTGGGGCAGCACTCCACCATGTCCAGGCCCACTGCAATGTTGCCAGGTACAGTTGACTCCCTCTGGTCCTATTTGCTCATTCTGAGGTCAGCTTAGGATGAAGCTCACCCTTCCCAGGCTGCTTTGAGCCCCAGGGAGATGGCATTACCCACAGGTGACAGAGCAGGCACCCAGAAAAGATGTAGGGCATGGGGTATACTGAGAGAGGCACATGGAGCCTGGCTCCCTCCAACTTCTAACTGTCCAGGCTTAAGGCTTTTGTCTTGAGGGGCAGGCATGATTTTCATGGAGGAAGGGACTTGGAGGTCCCATTGTAGAGTAGTCTCAGGCTTACAGACACTCCTGAAATATTAGGGCCTTGGTTAAGACAGATAGGGTGACTGGCCCATGGCTGAGTTCTCCATCTGAAACCTCAGCCCTGACAGAGACACAGGTCTCTCTGCTTTGAGCTCAGGACCATCAAAGCAGATTTGGTCTGTCCTGAAGGTTTTGGGGAGCACTTAGGGATCAATAGTTCAGGCTTTTTCAGGTCAGACAGTCCCCATGCCAAGAAGGGTGAACTACAGCCAGGGATGCACACATGGATCTCCCACCCCACCTTAGGTGGACCCCCAAGTCCTGGAGCATTCCCACCCATGGATAGAAACAGGTTTTTTTTGTTGTTTTTTTTTTTTGTTGTTGTTGTTGTTTTTTTTGCCTTTGAGAGCTGGGTCTGACTGAGTTTGGAGCTCGGGTTGCTGATGGACAATAGGAGCAACTTTTTCTTTACTCAGGCATTGGTTGGGGTCTGGGTCTGACTGAGTTTGGAGCACGGGTTACTGATGGACAATAGGAGCAACTTTTTCTTTACTCAGGCATTGGTTGGGGTTGGATATAGGAGCAACTTGGTCTCCACTAAATGATGCTAAGGCATAGGGAGTGATATTTGGGGGTGTCCCTGGGAGGCCACCAGCAAGCACCAGGGTCAAAGTTCCTATTACTGAAGCAAATGAAACTAGGGCATAGAAGTCTGAGGGGACTAAAGTCAAGTGGATAAGTTGCCCAAGGAAGGTGGAACAGATAGAAGAATCTAAGCAAGGAGGTAAGAGGGCATCAGGAGAGAGTGGCTGCAGACCAGCTACCTCTCTAAGGCTGGTGGAGGGCAAAGTAGCAGAGGTGTGCCATGCTTGTGTGTGTGCAATGGTGTTGCTATGGAATTGAAGAGGCCTAGGGGTGGGTTTCAAACTAAGAAGTAAGCTGAGGAGGGCACTTAGTGTTGTAGGGTCCAGAGAAGAGGATTTAGGAATCTATCAAGGCAGACAACAGAGGCTGGTGGGTAGGGAGGGTCTTGGTGCCCAGGATGAGGAAAGGAGACAAGAAGGAGCTACCCACAAGGGCAAGTGGTGACCCAGGTTGGACGGACAGCGATAAGTAAGGATAGTAGGGAAAGCGGCCACACCCCCAACTCACCTAGCTCCATGCTCAAGACCACGGCCAGAAGGAACCAGAAGAGAAGCCTCATGTTCTCTGTGTTAAGGATGAGGCTCACTCCCTGGCCACCCCTTATACCTGCTCATGGGTCCCACTCCACCCTTGGCTCCCATAGCTGCTGGCTCCCAGCCCTGAGTCACTTGCAACCTGGCTCAGATGGGAGGTGGCAGAGCTTGCTGCTGTGTGGCCTCAGGGAGCCTTGTACAATTTCACAAGCCTTCTTCCCTCCTCTGTGGAGTAGGGATGTCCCAATCATCAGGCCCAAGGCTCTCAAGAAATGCCTTGTGCAGGCCGGAAGCTCAGGATAGGTCCACCTCACCCTGGAGCTGCACGGGGCATAGCATAAGCAAGCCACCCTCCCCTCCTCAGGCAAGTGTGAATGAAGCTGGGGCCAGGTGAAACTACGGTGCCTTTCTCAGCAGCTCACTCTGTATGGAGCATTGTAGCCAGGATTTTGGGAGGTCAGAGTTTCCTCATCTGCCAAATCAGGCTTCAGTCCTGTCCTGGCCCTCCCAGGACTAAGAAGCTCAGGAGAAGCATGGCTATACACATGGTCCTGGGGACAAGGGGTGAGTGTTACCTGTCAAGGGATGGTACTGACATGGTATCAAGGAAACTGTCCTGTGGCAGCAGAAGGGAGGAGCAAAGCCTTTGGCCTTAAAAGGTTCCAGGTAAGAGACAAAAGCAACATATAGCAGGGCAGGGGTCATACTGCCAATAGGATGGGGTACAGGCACTCAGTCCAGGCAACAGACCCCATGTGTCTACTGTGGCTGTCCAGGTGGCTTTGATTTACTATTATGCTTTATGGGCCCCCAAAATCTGTGGGTTGGACAGGGCAAAGGGCCAGAGATTCTGAGAGAGGGGCTGAAAGAGTCAGACCCTCTTCCGGAGAATTAGGTAGCAAGTGGGATCAGAAATCAAAAAGCCAGAAGGCAGTAGCCAGTGTGTGTGTGTGTGTGTTTGTGGGTGTGTCCTGTCTTTTCCCACTCAGTTCCTCAGCCAACCCTTGGGCTTGTTGGCCCATTGATGGGAACTGGTGGGTCTGCCTCTCTCCACAGAGTGGGGGTGAAGTTTTGGAAAGCCCCTGGAATCCTATTAATACCACTTTTGCCTTGGCTGGCTCTAGTATCAGGACAGGAGCCAGGGACCTTCAAAGAGAATACAGGTAGAAGAAAGCAAGATAGACACATGTCCTTCATTTGTTTATTCATTCAGTGGGGGACATTGACATTGGCCACTCTGAAGTGTAGGTACATAGGACTGGCTAGGGGAAGGGAACTGAGGCCTAAAAGTGAATTTCATGCTCTTTCTGGGTGAGAGCTTAGGATTGGCAGAGGCACAACCAAGGGAAGTGCTAGGCAGCATGTATCCATGCATCCTTTGGGGTCTCCTCTATGCAAGTCCCAGGCTTGACACTGGCCCCCAAGAGCCAGCTGAGTGGGTACTGTCACTGTCATTTCACCAATGAGATGGCTGGAGTAGGAGCCTGTGCATGAGGAACCCAGAGCAGGCAGCTGCAGGATGCCATGGTGCTTGCTAGGAAGTGTTCAAATACTGCAACAAGGGCCACCCTACTCCTGGAAACCTTTATAGAGTTTCAGAATGTGAGCTCGCTGCAGAAGATGAAGAAGGTGGTCTGCCCCCCCTTCTCCATTTGTACTTTGGGGAGGCCAACCACAGACATGGTGGCAGAGAGTGACTCCCCTGGCAGCTTCTCTCTGGTGGGCTAGACCAGACACCTCACTCTGTAGCATGCCTTAGCTTCATGTGTTGAACCGGCTTCATCAAATCCCACAGAGGCACATACACTCTGTGATATCATTGCTTCATCCAGCAGCTTCTCTCCAGTGACTTCCAAGCTGATTCCAGAATGCAATGCCATAGGTAACCACTGCCAGCCGCCCTGGACACCATTCATGTTGAGGGACGAGTTTACTCTAGTGTGACAGCACCCACTGCCTTGATCCCTAGTCCCTGACAAAGGCAGGGTCAGCTTGTGACATCTGATGGAACTTTGTTCTTCTGTCTGTTACTCCATCCCGTGTTCCTTCTCTCTGTATCCACACACAGGGCTGGGCACCCCTGGCTTACTCCCCAGACCTTCAAACCTCCAATTCTGATGTTCCCCTCTAAGGCCTCAGTTTCATAAGCTTTTACAACTTTATGTTCTGAGGTTCTCCGGCTTATGACACCACAGTCATCCTGAAGCTTTATAGTCTTAAAGAACTCCAGCTACGGAAAAGCACCCATAAGATAATGGGTTGGCACTAGGCTGAGGAGGAGGTCAGATGGCCCAGGAAAAGTAAGACCCCTCTGTGCCTCAGTTTCTTTTTCTGTCATGACCCCCCCCCACACACACACATTTACACTTTGCAGAACTGCTGGGGAGTGTGCAGAGCCACCTGCAGTGTCACAACACCCCAGGCAGGACTCAGAACAGGCCACCTGGCACTGTTCCCCTAATGGACACCTCCTACTGGCAGGCTTGGCTCTGTGTTAATGGAGCACCATTTGGTGCTCTGTGCTAAGCACCAAGGACAGGCTAGACAGGTACAATGCTTCTTGTAGGGATGGGTGGCAGTGTGGACCCTGTGGGGCCTGTCTGGATGGTGTCATGGGACATGTGAAAGAAACTGCCCCCAAACACTGCAGCACTCTCAGCCATAGGTAATCAAGGGCCTCTTGCACATCACTCCCTTGTGGCGGGAGGGAGGACCCGGTCTCAGACATCCTCCCAGTTCTGACCCAGGATGCCACCTTGACTGGGGACAATGGACTTGCACAAGCAGGGTAATGTTTCCCAGGCCTCACCCACTGAGTCAGGGGCCCGCCTCTGACCCTCCTTACCAGAGCTCTGTGGCTTGCACAGTTCAGTCCCAATGCGGGCTCTCTCTCT